GTCGTGCCTTTTTGACACAAATTGATCAGTCTTGGGACTTAAACTGCGTTTGCTCTTTAGGTTTACCAAAATGGGGATTGTTTAGGGTCTGGCACGGATATGCTCCCTTTGTATTATTTCTAATTCCCGGCAGTGGCCACAGAAGCGTGCTCCAGGCGCACTTTGATGCCCCCGTTGCTGAGCTAGAGCCACTCTGCCCCCCCCCGACTTCCCGGAGGGGCCCCCCCCATTTGGGAATATCGGCGACAGAGCCCTTTTGCCCCCCTGGGAAGCGGGCTGGGGCTGGAACTGCTGCGGCTCTTTGTGCTTGCCTCACTCCAATCCGGCTCTTCACTTTCATAGCTCTAGACACCGGCCTGCGTGGAGAAAGCCACTCCCAAGGTGGCTGCCGGGCAAAGGCCCTCTCTGGGCCGGACACTCCCAAGATGGCTTCCTAAAGGTGACGCGAGGCTTCTTGCTGCCCTTTCTGCCTCCTGCCGCGGCCATGTAGGGGAGGGGAGGGGAGGGGAGTGGCCTGTCTCCGCGCTGGCGCGTGTCTAGAGCTACGAAAGTGAAGAGCCGGATTGGATTGCGGCATCTACAAAGAGCCGCGGCAAGCTCAGAGCCAGCCCCAGCGCCAGCCCGTGTCCCAGGGGGGGCAAAGGGGCTCTGTCGCCGATATTCCCAAATGGGGGGGGCCCCTCCGGGAAGTCGGGGGGGGGCAGAGTGGCTCTAGCTCAGCAACGGGGGCATCAAAGTGCGCCTGGAGCACGCTTCTGTGGCCACTGCCGGGAATTAGAAATAATACAAAGGGAGCATATCCGTGCCAGACCCTAAACAATCCCCATTTTGGTAAACCTAAAGAGCAAACGCAGTTTAAGTCCCAAGACTGATCAATTTGTGTCAAAAAGGCACGACGAGCCGATGGCAGATTCATGGATTTCAGCCTAGGCACGACTAGCAGATGGCCGATTAACGGATTTCAGCCCAGGCGCGACGAGCCGATCGCAGATTCATGGATTTCTATCCAGGCACGACGAGCCGATGACCAATTAATGGATTCCCGCCATTGCACGACGGGCTGATGGAATTTCTGTGCAATCTTGTGTGTCCAGGCAGCGATGCCGCCTCCAGCGGATAAGC